AATGCATTTCTGCATCTATTGAGATAATTACATGATTATTTTGTTTCATTCCATTAATGTTTTGTATCACATTCACTGATTTGCATATGTTGAACCATCCTTACTTTCCAGGGATAAATTCCACTTTTCTTGGTGAATGATTCTTTTTAATGTGCTGCTGTATTTGGTTTGCTACAATTTTACTGAGAATTTTTGCATCTGTATTCATCAGGGATATTGGCCTATGGTTTTCCATTCCAGTAGCATCCTTTCCTGTTTTTAGTGCAAGATAATGCTGGCCTCCTAAAATACGTTTGAGAGGATTCCCTCCTCTTCTGTTTTTAGGAAGAGTTTTAAGATTGGTGTTAATTCTTTAAATGTATGGTAAAATTCACCAGTGAACCAATCTGGTCCTGGGCTCTACTTTGTTGGAAGATATTTTATTATTGACTCAATCTCCTTATTAGTGAATGGTGTATTCAGGTTTTCTATTTCTTCTTGATTCAGTCCTGGAAAATTATACACATTTCTAAGCATTTTTCCATTTCTTCTAGCTTGTCTAGTTTGTTGGTGAATAGTTGTTCATAGTAGCCTCTTATGATACTGTGAATTTCTCTGGTATCAGTTGTAATGTCTCCTTTTTTATTTTTAATTATACTAATTTGGGTTCTTTCTTTTTTTCCTTGTTTATTCTATTTAAGGGTTTGTCAGTTCAGTTTGTCTCTTCAAAGAGTCAACTTTTAGTTTGGTTAATCTTTTCAATTGTTTTGCTTTTCTACATTTAATTTATTTTGGCTCTAATATTTATTCCCTTCTTCTACTAATTTTGGGCTCAGTTTCTTCTTTTCCTAGTTTCTTATGACATAGAGTTAGGTTGTTTATTTAGGTCCCTCTTGCCTCTTCATGGAGGTGTTTATGGCTATTAACTTGCCTCTAAGAACTGCTTTTGTTGTATTCCACAAGCTCTGGTATACTGTATTTCCACTTTCATTTGTGTCAAGAAACCTTTTTTATTTCTTCTTTAATATGTTCTTTAATTCATTGGTTGTTCAAGACAGTATTGCTTAATTTCCATGTGTTCATGAATTTCCAGGTTTCTTCCTGTTATTGATTTCTAGTTTCATGCCATTGTGGTCATAGAAGATATTTGTTATAATTTTAATCTTCCTAAATTTTCTAAGACTGGTTTTGTGTTCTAATATATGCTCTATTGTAGAAAATCTTTCTTGTGCACTTGAGAAGATGTGTAGCTGCTATTTGGATAAAATGTTCACTTTATCTCCTTTAGGTCTATTTAGTCTACATTGTTTTTCAAGTTCACTGTTTCCTTATTGATTCTCTGTCTGAATGATCTATCCATTGTTAAGAGAGAGATATTGAAGTCCCCACCTACAATTCTATTAATTTTTATTTCTTTTTAACTCTGTTAGTTTCTGCTTTATGGATTTAAATGTTTCAGTGCTGGGAACATAATATTTGTAATTGTTTCATTTTCTTGATGTGTTGACCCCCTTATCATTACATAATGACCTTTTTGTTTCTTTTTATCATTTTTAGTTTGAAGTCTTTTTTTGTCTGAATTTTGTTATTGTTATCAATGTTGCTTGAAATATTCTTTTTTCCTTCAGTCTCATTATATGTGTCTTTAATACTAACGTAAGCCTTTTTAGACTGCATATTTCTGGATCTTGATTTTTTTTGTCCATTCATCTATTCTATGTCTTTTACTTGGAAAATTTAATCTGTTTACATTTAAATAAATTGTTAATAGGTAATAACTTACTATTTCCATTTTTCTCACTGTTTTCTGAATGTTTTATAGATCTGTTTGTCCGTATTTCTTATCTTGCAATCTTTTTGTGTGTTTTGATGTATTTTAGAATCACTATGCTTTCACTTCTTTATCATTTTCTTTTGTATAATTATTACATAATTTTTCTTTGTGGTTACCAGGAGGTCTTTTAAGCTTATGATACACTATTTTAAACTGATAACAACTTCAATAGAATTTATAAGCTTTATACTTTTACCTCCCTCCCCACTCACACTTTAGGTTATTTCTGTTACAACTACATTTTTCAGTATTGTGTAAATAATGACAGACTATTTTAGTTTTTTATTATTGTTGTAAATTATTATAGATTATTTTTACTATGTTAGTTTTCTTAACTTTTACAGTTTTAATTGAATTATATACCACTGGTATCACATTGCAAAATTTAACTATGACTATAAATTTACCATTACATGTGAGATTTACAATATATTTTTTTAAGGTTTTTTGAAGGGGTTTTTTTTTTTTTTTTTTTTTTTTTTTGGTGGGGGGTGTTGGACAGAGAGATAAAGGGAGCACAAGTGGGCAGGGCAGCAGGCAGAGGGATAGGGAAAAGCTGGCTTTCCCCAAGCAGAAAGCCCTATATGGAGCTGGATCCCAGGACTTTGGGATCATGACCTGAGCTGAAGGAAGCTGTTTAACCAACTGACCCACCCAGGTGCCCCTTACAATATACTTTTAAGTTTTTATATTGAGAATTTTTGTTCTTTCACTTCCACTAGGAAAGCTCTCTTTAGCATTTCTTGTAAAGCAGGTCTATTGGTAATAAATTTCATCAGCCTTTGTTTCTGGAAGTCTTTATTCCCCCATTTCTGAAGGAAAACTTCATTGTATATAGAATTTTGGGTTGGCAGTTATTTTCTTTCAATATTTTGAACATGCCACTTCCTTTCTTTTAAACACAAATTTAGCTGCATCTCATTAGCTCTTAAAATTTAAGGAATTTTGGTATGCAATATTTTTATTATTGTCAACTTTAAAATATTTTTTCTCCTGTGATTTTTCTTTGACCCATGGATTCATACAATTGTAATATTGGTTTCCAAATAAATGAAAATTTTCTGGTTTTCTCTGTCCACCTACCCGCATATGGCAAGACCCAAGATCTAATTGTTAAAGCTCTGAAAGCTTTCAAAAGCACTGTTTACCTTCTCAGTCTCTTAGCTTCTTCTTGTTAAAGTGGCATTTATATCTCAAGGAAAAGCAGTTCTAGATACCAGGTCATATTTCTGGGTTATCTTCTTCTCTAGGAACTTGGTCTTCTAATTTTTTAATGCTTCTTTAGTTCTGAAATGCATGAGATGTATAATTTGTCTAGTTGCTGTCAGTTATTTTTTTGAATTACCAGAATTGGAAGTCAACAGTCCTATTACTTTTAACATTTGATTTCTAAGTGCAGATATCAAATAATTTGGGGGGATTCCACAAGAATATTTGAATTACCCAAGTTGAAGATTTTATGCCATGAATAAATAAAATTCAACAAATATTCTTTCATGTTTGTGATAACAACTCTAAGCAGTGTAAAGACTTTATGTAACTTTATACAACTCAACACCAAAAAAAAAAAACAAATAAGCCAATTTAAAAAATGGACAGAGGACCTGAATAGACCTTTTTCAAAAGGAGACATAGAAATGGCCAAAAGACACGTGAAAATATGCTCAACATCACTGATCATCAGTGAATTTAAATCAAAACCACACTGAGATATCTCATACCAGTCAGAATGGCCAGTATCAAAAAGATAATAACATGTTGGTAAGGATTTGGAGAAAGAGAACTTTTGTGAAGTGTTAGTGGAAATGTAAACTGGTATAGCTGCTCTGGAAAACAATATGGAGGTTCCTCAAAAAATTAAAAATAAAAATATCATATGATCAGTAATTCTACTACTGGGTATTTACCCAAAGAAAATGAAAACACTAATTCAGATCCAGTAATTGCATTGCTGGGTATTTACCCCCAAAATACTAAAACACTAATTCAAAGGGATACATGCACCACAATGTTTGTTGTAGCAGTATTTACAATAGCCAAATTATGGGAGCAACCCAACTGTCCATTATGATGATGATGAATGGATAAAGAAGATGTAGCATACACACAAATTTTATATATATATATATATATATATATATATATATACACATATATGTATATATATAATGAAATATTACTCAGCCATTAAAAAAGAATGAAGTCTTGCCATTTACAACAACATGGATGGAGCTAGAGAGTATAATGGTACGTGAAATATTACTCAGAGAAAAACAGATACCATATGATTTCACTCATATGTAGAATTTAAAAAAACAAAACAAAGAACCAAAAGAAAAAAAAATGAGAGAGATAAACCAAGAAACAAAGTCTTAACTATACAGAACAAACTGATGGTTACTAGAGGGGTAGTGTATGGGAAATTGAGTAAAATAGGTGAAGACAATTAATAGTAAACTTGTCATGATAAGCACTGAGTAATGTATAGAACTGCTGAATCACTGCATCATATGTCTGAAGCTAATATAACACTCTATGTTAACTATACTGGAATTTTTAAAAATTAATTTTAAAAACGTATATGTACCCCTATGTTCATTGCATCATTATTTACAATAGCCAAGATATAGAAACAACCCAAATATCCATCAATAGATGAATAGTTAATGAAGATGTGATATCTATATAAAGTAATTATATATATTATGTTATCTGTTATATAGAAATATACATATATAATACCTATGATCCTAGGGAAATTAACCAAAAATTATTTTCAATATTATTTATTGAAGTAGAAATCTGAAAAGTTATATTAAATATAGACATAATAGTATTAATAGCACCTAACCACTGAATAATGAAGCATTGAAAATAAAGTAGCTATCTGTGGTTATAATAAGAGGGTAATTAATTCTAGGGTTGATCAAGAAGGTAGAAGAAGTATCATTGAAATAAGTTATACTAATTATTTATCATGCTTCTTTTTGGCTGGGTCTTACATAGTATCATAAAAGGGAATTAAATATGAAGTAATAAATATAACCAAAATACAGAAATCCATGCCGATGTTGTTAGGTCAAAAGATTTTTCAGTACTTAAAAGTTAATTTGGTATTGACAGTGTAAGACCTCAGATGCTCAATAAATACTTGATGTTCTTTTATTCTATTTGCTTCTTTCCACAGGTGGAGAGGTCCCATACACAACTCTGGCTACTCGAATGATGATGGGGGCTTGGTGGCTATTTGCACTGATTGTCATCTCCTCTTACACAGCAAATCTTGCTGCTTTCCTCACTATTACCCGCATCGAAAGCTCCATCCAGTAAGTAGACAAAGATTTCAGTAGCTACAAAGCTTGAGGAATGATGAGTAGCCAAAGCTTTTTAAATAAATATAAAATATCTGGTAATAAATTTACACCCTTCTTTTGAATAAAGGCTTCATTTTTTGATATGCAAGGATCACTATATTGGTAGAACATTTTTTATAAAGTAGAATTCTGGGTATAATTCTAATATTGTTTCCCACATTTTCCAGGAAGAAAAATACTATTCAGTGTTTCAGCTTCCACAAAGTATGACTATGTTTGGGCAATGTTGTAAAAAGGAAGGAAAAGGAGTCATATTAAAATATATATAACAATACCAGTTTCTGTCTTAAGTCTGCCCCATTGTGCACTGTCTGAGTAAATAGTTGGTTAGACATTAGATGATTGATAAATGACAGGGAAAGAGAGAGAGAGAGAAGGAGGTAGGGGTGTGAGGGAGAGAGGTAAAAAAATCTCTAAAGAGAGAAAACCACATTCTATTTGTCTCTTCATTACATTATAGCTAATGTCATAGCTACTGTGGTAACTATTACTGCTGCTTGTTCAGCTGCAAGTGGTGAGTTAGCACCAACTATGATACACTTACTCAGATCCTAAAAGTTACCGAAGTCAATGACTCCATTCATGATGGCCACTTCCACGAGCTCCGAGAGCCCAAAGGCCTATGATCTAGCACAGCCAATTCTGCTTCGGTGGGTTCATGCCATACAAGCAGCACCACAGTACAACTTCTGCCTTATAAGAACATAATGTTCTATGTATTGTTTCAGAAACATTTTCCTGAAAATGTTTTATTCATCCAAAAACAAATTAGCATGAATCATCTTAGAATTGAAGAACGTTCACTCTCCACAAAACTGACAATTCAAAATTATGAATAATTAGATTTGTTAAGGAATTCAGTAGGGATTTAATTCATCCTTAAAGGAAAACATGAGAGCTCTTCTTCCCTTTAGAAATGTTGTAAATGAAGTCCATTAATAGCCACAAAACTATTATAACACAGTACTAAAAATAAAACCAAGAATGAATGATCTATAAAGAAGTAGGATTATTTTTTTCAATTGCCTGTGGTACACAATTGAAAACCCCAAATTCAACTAATAATCATAACAGACAGTTAATTATTTCATCCAATTACTGAAAGTAGATGAAGAAACAGAAGTTTGCAAGATAAATTCTCAAGACCACATAAACAATAGTGTCAGAGCTAGAAATCTAACCCATGTCGATCCAATACCAATCCATGTCTTACCCACTGAAATTTTTCCTTCTGTAGCATATTTTTACAGTTTGTTTGCCTGATCTGCTTCCCCGGGGTTGTAGGCCTCATGGTGTGTGTGTATGCGAATTATTTAATTGTTACCAGCTTTGCCAGCATTAGTTTGTATCTTGACTTTTATGCAATAGCACTGGGATCAGAAGCCTCTATCAAATTTTTACACCCATAAGGTTTCTCTAAAGGTAAAACCTAATGGAAAAAGATCATAATTTCACATGATGTTTCCCACAAGTATAGCTCCACAATCCACAATAACTGAGCCTTCATTTCTTAAAAAATTATTTCTTTCTAATGCCAGCTCACATTATTAAAAGCCAACAGTGGGTATAATAAATCTCCCTTCCTTCTAATCTTATCAGTAGACTAATTTTGAAAGGGGAAAAATCAGAGCCAAAGGAGTTAAGAGAAGCCTGATTCTCTCCACAAACTTAAAGATATCTTCTAATTTCATGCCTCAGCTGCATTGGTAAACATAATTGCAGGCAGTGTTTCTTGGAAACATTTAAAGTTCTATTTGCAACTAATGTCAAACTTCCTTGAAAAATCCAAAGTTTAATTTTTCTTAGAAAAGACAAAACCTACAATACCATCCAATGTCATGCTCCTTAATCATTTATATCCATAAGATTTGCTCATCACTAAATGAAGCAATGCTTGTCAATGCATCTTTTTCAGTTCATCTTTGCTCTGTCATTGGCATACATATACCAGGCACATGTTCATTCCCAAAATTCAAGGTTGCTTCTCCAGACCCAGAAGGACAGAGCTACTAGAGGAAAGTCAGTGAGAGAGAGGGGAAAAGCTGCTACTTCTTTTTTTTTTTTTAATTTAATTTAATTTTTTTTCAGTGTTCCAAAATTCATTGTTTATCCACGACACCTAGTGCTCCATGCAATACGTGCCCTCCATAATATCCACCACCAGGCTCACCAAACCCCCCACCTTCCTCCCTTCCCAAACCCTCAGTCTGTTTCTCAGAGTCCACAGTCTCTCATGGTTTGTCTCCCCCTCCGATTTCCCCCAACTTACTTCTCCTCTCCATCTCCCAGTGTCTTCCATGTTATTCCTTATGCTCCACAAGTAAGTGAAACCATATGATAATTGACTCTCTCTGCTTGACTTATTTCACTTAGCATGATCTCTTCCAGTTCTGTCCATGTTGATACAAAAGTTGGGTATTCATTCTTTCTGATGGAGGCATAAGACTCCATTGTATATATGAACCATATCTTCTTTAACCATTTGTCTGTTGAAGGGAATCTTGGCTCTTTTCACAGTTAAGCAACTGTGGCCATTGCTGCTATAAGCATTGGGGTACAGATGGCCCTTCTTTTCACTACATCTGTACTTTTGGGATAAATACCCAGTAGTGCAATTGCAGAGTCATAGGGAAGCTCTATTTTTATTTTCTTAAGGAATCTCCACACTGTTTTCCAAAGTGGCTGCACCAACTTGCATTCCCACCAACAGTATAAGAGGGTTCCCCTTTCTCCACATCCTCTCCAACACTTGTTGTTTACTATCTTGTTGATTTTGGCCATTTTGACTGGTGTAAGGTGGTATCTCAGTGTGGTTTTGATTTGAATCTTCCTGATGGCTAATGATGATGAACATTTTTTCATGTGTCTGTTAGCCATTTGTATGTCTTCTTTGGAGAAGTGTCTGTTCATGTCTTCTGCCCATTTTTTGATGTGATTATCTGTTTTGCGTGTGTTGAGTTTGAGGAGTTCTTTATAGATCTTGGATATCAGCCCTTTGTCTGTAGTGGCATTTGCGATTATCTTCTCCCATTCCGTGGGTTGTCTCTTTGTTTTGTTGACTGTTTCTTTTGCTGTGCAGAAGCTTTTTATCTTGCTGAAGTCCCAAAAGTTCATTTTCACTTTTGTTTCCTTTCTCTTTGGAGACATATCTTGAAAGAAGTAGCTGTGGCCGATGTCAAAGAGGTTAGTGCCTACGTTCTTCTCTAGGATTTTGATAAATTCCTGCCTCACATTGAGGTCTTTATCCATTTCGAGTTTATCTTTGTGTATGGTGTAAGAGAATGGTTGAGTTTCATTCTTTTATACATAGCTGTCCAATTTTCCCAGCACCATATGTTGAAGAGACTGTCTTTTTTCCACTGTATGTTTTTTCCTGCTTTGTCAAAGATTGTTTGACTATAGAGTTGAAAAATGCTATCAATGAGATCCAATCTAATCTAAATACTCTAACAGCTAGGGTAACCAAGGTAGAAGATAGAATTAGTGATCTAGAGGGCAAACTGATATAGAAAAAGGATCGGGAAGAGGCATGAAAGAAATAGCTAAGAAGCCATGAAAACAGAATTAGGGAAATAAATGACACCATGACGTTCCAGCGTCAGAAATATTGGGATCCCTGAGGAGGTGGAGAAAAAGAGAAGACTAGAAGATATAGTTGAACAAATTCTGGATGGAAATTTTCCCAGTCTGGGAAATGGAATCAGCGTTCATGTCCTAGAGGTAGAAAGAACACCTCCCAAGATCAGTGAATCTAGAAAGACCTCAAGGCACTTGATTGTGAGACTGATGAATCATAATTTTAGACAAGAGCTTTTCAGAGCAGCTAGGGAGAAGAGATTCCTTACATACAGAGGAAGGTCCATCAGAATAACATCAGACCTGTCCACAGAAACCTGGCAAGCCAGAAAGGGCTGGCAAGACATATTTAGGGCACTAAATGGGAAGAATATGCAGCCAAGAATACTTTATACAGCAAGGTTGACATTCAAAATGGATGGAGAGATAAAGAGCTTCCAAGACTGGCAAGGTTTAGAAGAGTAGGTGACCACCAAGCTGGCACTACAAGAAATATTAAGGAGGGTTCTATAAAAGAAGAAAGAGCCCAAGAGTGACATAGAACAGAAACATACAGAGACAATCTATAGAAACAAGGACTTCACAGGCAAGATGATGTCAATAAAAATGTATCTTTCAATAATCACTTTCAACGTGAATGGCCTAAACACTCCCATAAAACGGCACAGGGTTGCAGATTGGATAAAATGACAGGACCTATCCATATGCTGTCTACAAGATACCCATTTGGAACCTCAGGATACATCCAGACTGAAAGTAAAAGGATGGAGAAACATCTTTCATGCCAATGAGCCTCAAAAGAAAGCTGGGGGAGTGATTCTCATATCAGATAAATTAGATTTTAAACTAAAGACTGTAGTCAGACACAAGGAAGAACACTACATCATTCTTAAAGGGTCTATCCACCAACAAGATCTAACAATTGTTAATATGCCCCCAATACAGGAGCAGCCAACTACAAAAAACAACTGTTAATCAAGATAAAGGGACATACTGATATGAATACATTCATAGTAGGGGATCTTAACACGCCACTCTCAGTAACAGGCAGATCATCCAAGCAGAAAATCAATAAAGAAACAAGAGCATTGAATGGGACACATTAGACCGATGGACCTCATAGATACATACAGAACATTCCACCCTAAAACAACTGAATACTCATTCTTCTCGAGTGCACATGGAATTTTCTCCAGAATAGATCACATACTGGGTCACAAATCAGGGCTCAACTGATACCAAAAGATTGAGATTATTCCCTGCATGTTCTCAGACCACAATGCTTTGAAACTGGAGCTCAACCACAAGAAAAAGTTTGGAAGGAATTCAAACACTTGGAAGCTAAAGACCACCCTGCTTAAGAATGTTTGGATCAA